TGGAAAAGAACGAGAGAAAAGGGGAAAGGAGGGGAAAAAATTCGGCAACGATCCACCAGCATTCATGGGACAGAAACAGCTCAGCTCAGCTCCTCGACATACAGCGTTAGCGCTCCAGGGTGCTCCCGCGCAAAGTGCATGCAGAAAATAAACCCCTGCCCCCCCCGGAATCCCCCACGGCCACAGCCACAAACAACCCCAGCGACAACGGGTGCGGGATGGGGACGTGGGGGGGGGGGCGTGGGGCGATGCCCCCCCCCAAAGCGGTGACCCCCGGAGGCCGGGTCGGATGCGGGGGGGGGCAGCAGCCTGTGCCCCCTAAGAGACCCCTTCTCTTAGTCTAAAGTGCTTGCGCCGCTGCCTGGGTGCCGGGTCAGCCCCGAGCCCCCCGCCCACTCCCCGCCCTTAGGGCCGGAACCCTCCCCCTCCCCCCCCAAATTACTGAACTCCTGGCCCCCAACCCTTGGCGCACCCCACACTTGTGGGGCAGAGCTACGGGCGGGAGCACTGGGTGGGGGTCGGGTCGGGTCGGGGGGGGGGGGGCACCGGCTGCTCCCGTGGGAATTCAAAAATAAAGAGCTCTCTCTATGTACAGGGACCCGGGGAGGGAAGGAGCGAAAGCGGAGTCCAAAGAACAACATCCACCACCAGCAACAGCGAAACTCCACAAGCACGGCCGGGGGGGGATCCGGGCAGCCCCCCCAGCCCGGCACAGACGGAGGAGGAGGGAGGGGGGACACCGCGGGCGTCCGCGTGCTCCGGCGGCCCCTCCGTGCCAACGGGTGCGTGGTTGGGGGAGGAAGAACGTACAGAGGGGAAGTGGGGGGGGGGCGATTTTTGAACGTTTTCCGTCGTTTTGTCTTTTTTTTTTTTTTTTTGTCTTTTTTTTTTTCTGCAAACACAGGCACCGGGCGGAGGGGGGCCGGGGGGTGGGGGGGTGCGGGGCACAAGGCATGCGGACGCGCGTTCCGGGACCGCGGCACCCGGCTGGCGGCTCGGCCTCGGTGGGGGTCTCGGGGTGGGCTGACGGGGCCGGGGGTGCTCGGAGGGGTCCGGAGGCGGCGGGACCCACCCCGGGCCGCCCTCACCTTCACTGGAGGGGGGCGACGGGGGCCCCCGAGCCGTGGAAGTGGACGTTCTGCCACTTGCCGTCGCGGCGGTGCCACACGCGCGTCTCCTCCGACTGGCTGGTGCGCGGGCGGCCCTGCGCGTCCAGGTACTGCGTCAGGCGGATGTAGGCGATGCACGCCGCGTCCTCCCCGATGACGTGAACGTGGGGGTTCAGGATGGTCGTGTGGATCGGTTTGTTGTTCTTGGACAGCACTGCGGGGCGGCAGCGTCAGCGCGGGGCGGCGGTACGGGGCGTGGGGACAGGGATACAAGTGGGGGGGGAAGGGATGCAGGCAAAGGGAAGGGATGAAGGAGGGAAGGGGTGCAGGAAGGGGTGCAGAAATGAGAGGATACGGAAGGGAAGGGAGGCGGGAAGGGATGCAGGAAGGGAGGGATGTGGTCAGGAAATGGGTGCAGGGACGGATGCAGGATAGGAAGGATGCAGGAGGGAAGGAGTGCAGGCAAAAGAAAGGGATGCAGGAAGAGAGGGGATGCAGAGAGGGAAGGGGTGCAGGAAGGAAAGGATTCAGTAAGAGAAGGGATGCAGGAAGGGATGCAGGAAGGAAGGGAGGTGGGTGAAGGGAAGGAAGGAAGGTGAGAATGCAGGCAGGGATGCAGGCAGAGCCAGCAAGAGACAGGTGGACGACAGGCAGGCACTGACAGACAGATAGACAGGGCAGGACAGGCAGGAATGGAGGCGAGGGCAGCAGCCGCGCAGCCGCAGGCACTCACGGTTCTCGAAGTAGAAGCGGTGGAAGTCCATGCCCTCCACCAGGTTACCCAGCGCTTCGGGCTCGAAGGAGGTGAGCCCCGGGTCGCAGATCTTCCTGCAAAGCGCTGCGTCAGCCTCAGCCCCGCCCCCCGATCCCTCCCCCCCACACTCCCCCTCCCGACCCCACTCACGCGTAGGCCTCGAAGTCCCCGTTGTTGACGGCCTCGATGAGCTGCTCTGTGATCTTAATGATCTCCTGCTTGCGGGCTGCGGGGACAGCAGGGTCACGGGCACGGCCCGGGGGGGGGACACGACACAACAAAGGGGCCGGGGACGGGCGGACACAAAGACCATGAGGACACATGGACAGACGCACAGCATGGGGACAGACCAACCCCTGAGCCGGACATGTGGATGATGAGGACGTGGGGACGGACACACGGACCTTGAGGACACAGAGGGGATGCTGCACACCCTGCTCCCAGTGCACTCCGACATCCCAGTGCCATCCTGCTGCACTCTACCACATCCCAGTTCCGACCCAGTGCACCTCGCTGACATCCCAGTGCCAACCAACTCCATCCCGGTGACATTCCAGTACGTCCCAGTGTGGCTCAGTGCCTCCCACACCACCCCTGTGCACCCCAGTGACATTCCAATGCAGTGCATCACCGCCCCTTTGCTTCCCAGTGCCACCCAAACTGGACACCCCAGCACACCTCCACATATTCAGTGCCAGCCTGCTGTGCCCCAGTTCCATTCCAGCGCACCTCAACACATCCCAGGCCCATCCCAGTACACTGCAGCACCATTCTATCACTTCCCAGCACTCCTCAGTGCCACCCCAGTGCATCCCAGTGCTGTCTCCGAGGGTCCCAGTGCATTCCCATGCCACCTCACTGCAGCCAGTTGCATTTTGATGCCATTCCAGTGCATCCCAGTGCCATTCCAATGCAATCACAATGCATCCTAGCACCATTCCAGTGCATCCCAGTGCCACCCCAATGCATCCTAGCACCATTCCAGTGCATCCCAGTGCCACCTCAACGCACATTAGTGTCTCCAGCTCCATCCCAGAACATCCCAGTGCCATTCTGATGCATCTTAGTGCATCCTAGCTCCATTCCAGTGCATCCCAGCATCATTCCAATATATCCCAGTGCCATTCCAATGCATCTCGGTGCAATTTCAGTGCCATTCCAGTGCATCCTGGCTCTATAACAGTACATCCCAGCCCTCCTAGCTTTATCCCAGCACAAACCACTGCCATTCCAGTGCATCCCAGTGTCTCCTAGCTTCATCCCAGTGCCATTCCAGTGCATCCTAATGCATCCTAGCTCCAATCCAGTGCACCCCAGTTCTGTTCCAGTATATCCCAGTGCCATTCCAGTGCATCCTAGCTCCACTCTAATGCAACTCAGTGCCCCCAGTGCCCCCTCCCTCCCATGTCCCCATCACCTTTGGTGTCCTCATCCTCGATGGTGGTGTTGGTGCTGTCGGACGACTCCTGTCGGCGGGGGGGGGCAGCGGTGCGGGGGGAGAGACAGAGGGGTGGGGGGGTCAGCACCCATTTTGGGGGGAGGGAGGGAACCACGCGCCCCGGCCGTGGGGGTGACGCCTCCCTGGGACCACCGGGAGCCCCCAGCCCCGAACAGATGGGAGATGGGGGGAGGATGGAGGCGGAAAGCGGAGGGGGGGCAGCAATACCTTAATGCCGTCCGCGGGGTTATGAATTACGGTAGTTTGAGGCTCCTACAGGAGAAGGAAGAGAGACAGAGGAGGAGGAGAGAGGGGGAGGAAGGAGGCGAGGAGAGACCAGAGCACAGCGGCATGGGGGGG